TTGTGCTCATCGTTTGCCGGTTGTGATGTGGACTCTGCACATGAGATCACTCTATGTGACGAATCGCTGGACCACGTTTCCGAGCTAATTTTGTTTCCTGTTGATTCAGTCATCCGTTGCTTTACCACATCAGAATTACACAGAGGACCAAATAGTGCAACGGCAAACACAGATATCCGACGTAATAGTATATCATCCCATATATTCGCTAGGGTCAGGCGCCATGGCAAGCTGGAACCAGTGTCTGTGTCAATTTGCAAATTGATATTCTCTGGATTGAGAAATTCGCCATTTCTCCACATAGCTGTCCAAGCTGCGCTCACATCCTCAAGGTCACAAGGGATCGTCAGCATGTCCGGATTCGATTCGCCAAGATCAACGGACATTGGTATCATAGAGTTGGAAGACAGGCTTATCGCATTGTTAGGAGGATCTAATAAGGGTGCGGGACGGTATGATTGAATACTGGATGAAAGTGATACCTGAAAAACTAGACTTATAGTTGACAAAAAACTGTCAGAGAACAAACCTAAGAAAATTCTTCTCGTTTAACTCACAGTTTCTTGTAACCAGTGATGTGCGATAAGTGGTGTTGATCTGACTGACCATCTTCTGAACTTCATTTCCGTACGCAAACCTGAAACTTGAATTGTTAAATCTGCTGGGCTTCTGTGTGAGTTGATTGGTAAAGTGGCAACACAAAAACATTACATGCGAGGACTTGGGTATTTCATTTACGGACGGGCTAAAAGATATGATGAGCACCAACCGAAACAAAACTCGGGTTTACTGTTTTTAGGGTTAATCACTTACTGAAAGAAGTGAGGATTGTGGATGGAGAAAAATCTGAAGGATGATCAATCACATTATTGAGTTATTATTATCATTTGGTGTTGGTTTCTCAATTCCCTTGTCTTGAATCAACAAGCTGTCATAAGAGAAGGAGCAATTTAAAATAAACACGGGACAAAAAGTGACTAATTTAATTTTGATATTGATAGATTACAACATATGATCGTGTTTTTTTCATGTTTTTATCACCCAAAGGGAAAGAGTACGAGCCAGCTCAATTTTTGAGATCAATATTGGTCACGGTAAAGCTTTAAATTGGTATAGGAAACTCACCAGGAAATGAACCGGTGTTGGAGTGCGAAGGCAAAGCTTCAGCAATACCATATACAAAAAGCAATGGTAAATAACCATTGGAAAAGCTTGCTTCTTCGGCTTGTATTTCAAATAGAAGTTGAACGTTGTCAATGATTAATCTCTTGGGAGGAAAATGCCTTGAATAATTCAATAAAATAGATTACCGCATGGACTTTATAAGGAATAATATGTTGCAACTCATTGAGCGTGATTTTACACACAGCACGCATGCGGCCGCCAAACTACATATTCGGCTGCAAACATGCTACTAAAATGTGGATTGTGAAAAGTGTCCAGACTGCATATAAAAACTTCATTAACTAAACCAAAGCTATTAAACTGAAGATGGATGGACTCGAGAATGACTAAAAAAATAACGCAAGCTATTCAAACTTAAAAAAATAAATCACGATCTTATTAGCCTCTGGATTTATTAGAGTTTCGACATTCTCCTTGAACACAAACGCTTAATTCAATAATTATTTTTTAAAATAACTTTATTTCATGCAGCCATTTTTGAAAGCCCAATATAGGAAATACATTTTTACCTTTTGTTTAATGTATCTTTCAAATAACATTTTAAATCAAATGAAAGATATACTTAGCTCAATCGTAAAGAGCTCTTATCCACAGGGGGTAGTGGAGGAAACAAATATGATTTCTGGACTGATTCCATTTTGTACAAAGTATACAAACTGAGAATGGAAAACGTGATGCTGTGCAGTGCTTCTTAGCTTTTCGGTTTACTTTTTCTTTGTTATTATATTTATATTTATATGACAACAACAACAAATCTAGATTCTTCTCATTGAGCTTAGACACTTGGAGTTTCATCAAAACCATCAATGTACTGTTGAGGGATGAGACAATCAAACTCAATGAACCCCGTTAGGTAATGAAATAGATATCTATCGTAGACTCCCACGAAAGTAAGGGGGCAACAAGCCACAACACAAGGTGGAGAAGCAATCGCTGAATTTAGCTAGAGGATCCTCATTTCAAACGGCATATGGGCAGGCATATGACCGAGCATCAGGATTATCATATATATTGTTGATGGCTCAGAGCGACTGAGTGTATTGGGTGTCCCAGAGATGGGATTTTACGACTCAATCGATGGGACACTTACTAGTACTGATTAGATTGTGGAATTAAATCTCGGCGTCATTGTTCTGTGGGTTGAACTATGCTTTGATGCCCCGTCAATAAAACGTCTACTGTAATTTCCGCGTTCGAAAGAAAGGAAACCCTAAAATTCACTTAGAATGAACTAAAAAGTTTAGTCTAATGACTTTCTTTGAGTTCTATTTTCATGGTATAGAGTAATGACACCAAACCTATATAAATGAACAAAGCCAATGGACCATTTTACTTTCGTTTTTTTTCATTGATCAGAAAAATGTGCAATCAACTTTATTATTTATTATTTATATTTAAATGCTGTTAAAAGGTAGCCAAAATAAAAGGAGAAAGTTTGCACTTGTTGAATAAAAGAGTGAATATAGTTCACAAAGTATAATACCAACGAGGATAACTTCGGAATTGGTTTGAAGCTGAAAGGAAGCACACTTTAAATGTTCTTATAAGGGCTCTATATGATTAGGAAAGTTAGTGTATGTTCAGATACAAGAATTGTCACTGTAGTGCGCTTGAAAATGACAGTATACAATTAAGTTGTGTTCATTATGAGTTACAAATAGCAAAAAAGCTTAGACAGAACAAGTTCTAATGACAACTTTGGTTCTCATAGCACCCAAAACCTTTTCCTTTGAAGCACCAATATTTTATTCTCTTTCAGCAAAGATTGTCAGTGATTACACTAATTTGTGGGCTACAAATGCACAGAAATTATTGTGCATGAATTTTTACCTTTCCTTTCTAAGAAATATCTGTCAGAGATCGAGTACGAAATCTCGTTATTGTAATTAATCATACGTCTTTGGCCACAAGGTTTTTCCTTTTTGGATCTGCTATTCACTGTTCAACAGGTGGTATTCCAGACAAAAGGCCTAAGTAGGCACAAGTCCAATGGATTGAGGCGTAAATGGTGTTTGATTATTTTTATTGCAAATAATGCAAATGATTACCTTCACTATGAACGATCAAAATTGTTTAAGTGACTATCATAACTTTTCGATAAAACCGGTGATCATTCCATTTATTAAGGTCAGCATTTTATCTCTGTGTTCCTGCTCTTCGAGTCTCTATTCATGTAACTACTAAAATGGGATTTTTTTTTATATAAACGCAGTCAATTTCATGGTTGATATTAATATAGGCGTTTGGTTCAAATAAAACTTACTGGTTGATGATTGTGGGTCCAATACACCGGTGGAAGTTGTTTCCCAATGCATTTCAGAAAAGCCTCCCATGGTAGATGTAGTTGAGTCCAGTTGGTTCTGATGAGTATAAAGTGAAATATTTGGGAAAATGTGTGTGAACGGGTTAATTAAAAGTTGTTTTAATATCTAATCACCCCATGAATTTTTGCATTATACCATCGACAAACAGAAAATAATCCACACATGCTATTCCCACAATCATGCCAGCATAGAAGTTTCAGTATTTGTCTTCGGGGTTACATTGAATTCTATTTCAGTATTGGACGTCATTGCTCGTTCAACACAGTTAAGTGCTTCGGAGCGCTTGAGATTTTATCAATAAGTTAGCTCACACTTTTCGTTAGGTCTAACGGCTTAGTTCACTAAAATATAACCCTTCAAACTTGCAGTGTCAGTACACTTATTTCGTTTGTGTTAATAAATATACCTTTGATCATGTGCAACGTACACCCGGACGCATTGCTTTGTCACTCCACAAAACAATACTCTTTCGTGTTCCATAGTATTGACGCCGATGCATCCCAAACTCGAGGAGCATCTTTCGATAAGAGTTAGTTTATCGAAAGTATGTTTCCTAATTGTCCTACGGTTAGACCACAGTTCTGCAGCAACGTCCCAATGCGTGTTCTAACCGGAGAAAGGCGCGGTCCTGATTTCGGACTGATGAGAGTGCAAAATGTTTTCTCCAGACAGAAATATTCTACGTTGTAGCCTTCCGATTCTTACAAAAGGTGAGCCGTCACCGGAAAGACAAAGACGTGTATTGAACGGGAATGAAGGTTAAATGAAAACTGTATATGGCAACGTAATAAATGTGCTATTTTATAATTAAACAATTAACAATAAAGACAGAGATGGAATGATGCACTTTTGCGTGTTTTTGCCTGATGACAAAGGAATCTCTTTCTCCAGCAGTGAAGTCGAATAAGTTTTAATTATAATGAGTCAATGAAAGCAATAATAGGGAAAATTCCAGAGTTTTTAAAGTAACCTAGAAGCGGTCATACCAATTTAAGCATGATAAAGGAAAGAACGATAGCGTTAACGATAAAATCATTTTTGACATGTTTACTAGTGCGTTGTTTATCGCTATCAATTTGTAGACCCTTTTTAAAGAAAATTCTTTGATGACCGGAATACAATCTAGGTGCCGTGCCTACTTTACGGAGCATTGCTTACGAAAAATGTACCACCAAAAGTGAACTGTAAATCCTCATAGTGGTATGGAAAAGGTGGTATTCATTTGCAGTGATCATTAATCAGTCTCCCTCATTACACAACATCCTCAATATATTCAACCATACCCTCGATAAGGAGTAAATTCCAATTTACAGTATGTTGTATCTTATCATTGATACATAGTTACCAGATTTTCCTGACCTGAAACTCCTGAAGCCTTTCAAATAGGATACATTTGCGATACCCCTGAACTAACTGGCTCAAATGGGGGTGGGGGGGGCTGATTGGAATTCCCGAGTTAATTTTTTTAGTTATCAATGACAGTCAGTCACTTTATTTGGACGGAATTCAACGAAGGAAGACACAATATGCTTTCTGTTCACTCTATTTCAGAGCCCTCCACCAAATCAGTTATTTTCATTCAGGTTTGACTTATTTTACTCCTCCGGCTATATCTTATTATACATTTAACTCAGTTACTTTTGAGTCTTGATACTGGATGTAAGTTATGGGTTTGGGATGACAAACCTTCAGGTAGCACTTCACAGAAAATCTTCCAATTATGTAATTAAACATGTACTTCGAAAGCACCAGACTCCGGTTTCATTCTGACTATAACTGATCATCGGGGAGGAGATTTTTGATCCGAGTTAGCAAATAGTTTACAGTGTATCTTCCTTTAATGCTGGTGCGTCGATAACCGACTGATAATCTCCGAGGATGACATTTAAACAACTTTGAAATTATCATTTTGGTTGAATCCAGTTTGATCTGGTTGGGATACTGGTAACGCACACACCCTCCGTGCGAAGGTTCCGGAATCTAAATTCCGAACAAACCGAGTATTCGCTTCTGATGAGTTTCAATAAGAATCTAGTGCTTTCCGATGGCATGTTTGATTGAAATGAACTCAAGGCTGTGACTGAAAAGGTAGACTCAAGGATGACCAATCGAAATCAAAGTGATGAACAGCATGCAGAATTACATTATCTTATCTTGGAAGAAACTTAGAATTCGCCGATGCGGGAGTTTTCTGATAAACCGGAATGCAACAACATATGGGGAACGAGCTCAGAGAGTTTACTTCGTTTATGTCAAATAATTTATTGTGATGGGAAGCAGCTTCTAAATATAATCATACTGGTAGTAGTTATGATGCACAGTTCTCTCTGTGACAGAATGCGAAAAAATTGTTTGATCTTTGTATAAGACAGTAGCAGAGATTTCACGGTTTTTTTTCTTATAGACCTAGAAATTAATTCATAAGTAAAATTAACACAATATTACTGCAGTGCTCAGATATGAACACAGACGCGGTAAATTAATTTTTCTGTTACCGTAGCCCAATGTGATTCATCAATATAGTTTATTGATTCCTGATTGCAGGCTAGAGACAAAATACAAATGGAAAGTTGCGGGATGAAATCAATAAAATAAAAAGAATCGATGGACACATTCAGATCCGGTTTGCCCGATGTCCAATGGTACCTTCCCGTTTACGATTAAAACATAGCTGAATGGACTGGACGCACTGCAAAACCCCAGGTAGTACACATGGAATTCACACAAACAAACACTTTCTCCTCAAGTTATTATCTTAACAACATCCATGTAAACAACACAGTGACCCAGGTCGACAGTGTCATCTTGTGCACAAAAACACGCATGACGCTCAAGGACCACCGAAGTATTAGATGCAGTAACCGCTAGCATAAAAATATCTGCGCCTATTAATCAGAAAGAAACTTATTTTTCATTTTTTCGAGGTTATCTTCGCTTCGTATGTGACCTACATGCGCATATACGTACTATATGCATGGAGCAGATTTTGTTCGATTGTCTTTTTTGTTGTTGGTTCAAGATAAAATAAAACATTTTATGGTTAAAGTGATTTTAAGTTCTGGTAACTTAGCTCAGGGGGTAAAACGTAACTGTTTCTATCCCCACAGAATATATACATAGTTCATAAATCGGTCATATTAGCTGTGCACAAGCACCAATTGTCTACGCGCGATGTTAGCGGGAAGTGGTTAACGTGTAATCTGGCGGGATAGTTGATTCGGAACAAATTGTTTATCCTTGGCCAGAACATATGCTGTTTCCTGAGGCCGCCCGTCCTCATACGCTAACGCGCCCGTATGTGTATAAATTTATTTAGGAGGGTTTGTGAGCGTGTAGATCGTAAGCTGCCTCAAATATTCCCATGTCAGCTGGTTTATCTATCTACCTTTCCCCGATGGATTATTCTTGCTGTGTTGTGTATGCATGCATGCATTTATGCAGCTGTTTCTGAGGCTGATGCTCAGGTGGAATTTGTCAATCTCCTTCCGGTCATAAAGTGTTGACGATTATGGACTCTGGCAGGGGGAACAACGCGGCATTAGGCGCGAGAGGGAATAAAATGTAGAAAGGAATAAAAACAGGTTCAAGCGGGCCGAGCCCCAACTTCCACTTCTACTTCTCCTTCTGCTACTGCCACTGCTTCTTGGAACGTGCCTTCCCACCCCGACCGTCTAACCAAATAAC